CAGCTTTGGCTTGGGGCCTGTTGCTCATTCTTCAATACTTCCACCTTTTACATCAGAATAGGTGACTTGTTATAACTTAGTACGATACCTACTAGCACAATGGTTATCAGATATAAAATACACAGGATGCATCTATAGGTCAACTCTGGCTTGGGCTGGTTGTCCAAGCCTTAGCACTTCAGCCAGTCTCAGTGTTGACCAGGAAAAAAGTGATTTCCCATTATTTCCAAAGAACTGAAAGTGAACACCTTTGTATGTGACAGTATCAAAAAAACCTGCTTGCTTGAATTCTTTTTTTTTCCCTCCGTATCACACCCATACTCTTCCTGCTCAGGAAACAATTGATAATCCTGACATAGACAAGGGTGGTACACAAAGTCTCACCCATTTTCTAGGCTACCAACACACAGGCTCAAACTCCAAGAGCTGTAGGAAGTACAGAAATCACCATCCCTCGACCAAAGCAAAGGGAGCATGCTTTATTTCTGTATATATTCAAAATCAGTAACCATAGAGTGTGATAACCAAGTCTCCACCTATGAAGGAAGTTAATTCATTTCAATTCTTGTAGTTGCAAAGGCTACCTTAGGGACAGAAAAACAGGGTAAGATAAATAGACAACATTTTTGTACATGTATATATAGCTACCCTTATGCCCAGATTATATTGAAAACACCCATTCAAATGACTTCCAGAAAAAAAGGTTTTCATATAGCCTCCAGATAGCTCAGAAACACTGATAGAATTTTAGTAAATATAAGAACTTGGAAAAACTGGCAATACAGGTGGAAATACAGTAGCATTCCCAAGTGTCACAGTGGGTTGACTAAATTGAGAGATTCTACTTCCTAGTTAGTTGCACAGATAACTAAACTAAAATTTACCAGTATTTCTATTATCCCTTTATGCTACTCTTAAATGAACACCAAGTGCTGGAAAAAAAAAATTTCTCAACTGCTGTGCTAGAGGAAAAAGGAATACTCCACAGAGCACAGCTAAGGTATCTAAGAGTCCAAGTGTGAAGTATCTCTGTGACTACTGCCCAGGTGATACAGCAAATCAGCAGTCACACGCAGAGAAGAGAGGTGAGAAATCAGGTAAAATTAAAGTAACACATCGGGACGAAAAGACCAGAAGGAATGGTCAGGTAGAATCAAGGAGGTCAGTACTTTCAAATCTCGTCTGCAACTTGACTTGATCAGGTTTGTTCTGTCCTCCAATAGTTTATTTTAAGACAAGATTACAGAAATAGATTACAGAACACTGACCCATAATCACTTACCGAAGAATCAAGGGTATCTAGAGGGCAAGAAATATCAGTTGAACACAACTTTCTCTTAGTTCGTTTTGGCTTGAGCTCCTTTCCTTTGACAGTTTCTGGTTCTGCAGACTTGGGAGAGCTTATTGTTGCCATCAGCTTCTTCATTACAATAAGAAAAATTCTATTGTAAATCAATGTCTTATGGGTTTTATGAGCCTCAAAATTAATGAAAAAAGCTTTATTAAATCCAGTTTAAAAATGAAAGAGACGTAGTCTGAAATTTAAACATAAAGATTCAGAAGTGGTATATATTTGACTACCACAGTCTTCTATATCCAGAAACAGTTTTCTATACCGTTGAATGCAAAAGCTTAAAGGACACATTTAAATAGCACCAAAAATCAATTTGGATTCAGATTTCGCTGGATGTTAAATAAAACAAGAAATGAAAACCAGGCTTAACTTCTTTGTACTGACAGAAGCATAAGTCTGAGACAATTTTCTCTATGTACGTGTATAGTTTTATCAAACCAGTACCAGCTCTATGAAGAGATGAGTGTGTGCATCTTATGAGCTAGAAGGAAAGAAGAGATCCCAAACAATACTCAGTTATGCAAAAGAGGGAAAAAACACAGGACATGGTAATTAAAGTTACAAATTAGACCTCATTTTCTCAAATTAAGTATTTTCAGAATGAAATTTTGAGTAGTCTGAATTCGGCTTCCATTGATAATGACATGTTGTCCTCATGGAACCTCTCTGACAAGTGCAGAAAATTTTAAAAATCCCACTATTTTAATTTTAACTGTCCATGTTGAATAGTGACTGACCTTGTTTTAACAAACAAGGTAATGGTTTACAAGGTAAGCCTTTTACAATCTCTGCAAGTTATCTAAGTAAAAAAACACTTTAATCAAGAATCAAATTTTTGCAAGCATCTTTGATAAATTTCAGGGGCTAGAAGTGCACTATACTGTACATCTTTCCTAGGGAACAATTTCCATCATAGAGTATTAAATTTGGCAGGAAAAAAAGAAAAACAGCAAACCACACCACCAAAACCAAACTACCAGGAAATAGCCTAATTAAACTTCAAATTCAGTTGCCCTTTAAAAACAAAACCAAACCAACATGTTTCCTGACATGTGATTCCAGCCACTCCTTGCTGCTTCTCAAAGGATTCTACACTGCATGTTGAGTAGGGAAAAGGTCCTGAAATGTCAGGCTGCTGGGGAAGACATTAATACCTTTTTAAGGTTTGACTTTCAAGCCCAAACTCTTGCAATAGTCTTCTGGATTTCAAGTTCTTACGATATCCCATGAGGTTCTAAGAAATCCTACTGCTTAATAACTAAATACTAACAATCAACATTAGTAAAAGTTGTCACATTTTTTCATTTATTTCCCCCAAACTTAATAGAAAACATCTCGGTTTTTAAAGTCTCTAGAAGTTCATGCTTTTCTTTTCCAATTAATCTACCTTTTCCTCTCAGAGATGAGCATTTTCCAAAAGTCTGAATTCTGAGGCTTTGAAGTCAGCACAAATAACAACATCAGGCTACTGTTTTTATGAAGATCACGAAGTCCTCCTCCATAACCAGGTTAGCCTACTTTTGACAAGCCTTTTTCAAGTGTATTAATAAAATTTACTTCCCCCCTGCAATATCAGTACTAATCCCTGTTTTGACATCTGGTCTTTAGCTTACAGCTCAATGCAATTTCACTTAAGATTCACTCTTGCTCTAACTGGATCGCTGAACACAGCCTTATTGTGAACCACTTTGAACAGCTGTAACTTGAGACTGGTGAAAACAGGTTTTACCAACAGAACCCCAAACAAACACGCAGAAGAAACATTTGGCCTAGGGTTACAAACCTGGTTTCGTACTCGCTGAATTTGTTTCTTGGCATCAGAAAGTTTCTCTTTCAAATTTGCATGTTCTTCCTCTTTCCTCTGCAAACCTTTTTTTCAAGCTCTGTACAAGGGCAGAGCTCTCAGAAAGATCTTTATGTAGCCTTGTGTTAGAAATTAAGAGACATAAATAGTATTAGTGTTACACATCTCAAAGAAACAGCTTCTACACATTAACTCAGTTTCTCTGATGGCTGTATTTATTTATGAGTAGAATCACAGAACTATCAGCTAAATGACAAGTGTTATAATTTTACTTTTGGATTTCAGCTTTTTATTATATGATCCTGAAGTAACAAACGGCGCACATTCACTCGAACAGTGCAATTTAAAAAAAAAGTATGTATTTTTTTTAAGCACAGTAAAGTAACAGTTTCTATCATTAGGTGTCCTTACACAGTAACAAAAGCAACAAGGTTAATATCAATTAAGTATAAACTTGATATTTACATCCCAGACCTTGTAAGGATCAAAATAAATAAAATTCAAAAGAAAGTAGAAAAGCAGTAACATTGTAACAAGTCCTGTTGTTAAGTCATTAAGAAGTTTAATGGGTTTATTTTAAAATGGTCATAGTTATTTTAAAAAGCTTACGGTAAATTATCTTGGATTTTTACTTTAAAATTAACTGATAGAAGTTGTCTTAAATCTATAATTAACAACACAAATTAAGGTTTCATAAAAGGAAAACCTTTCGAAGTTCCCCAGACCTTCATGCCAAATTGTGTTTTAGAGTACATGCAGGTACCCACAGATATTGGAACTAAAGAAACCCCAGTCAGAAGGGCTACATGGCACCCTAAAGCCATTTTTACACGATTGCAATTTCCTTGCCACGCAGCAAATATAATATCTCAGACACATTTAATCTTTTATTTCTTAAATATTTAAAAAGTAGAGGGGGCTGGGAATTTCTACTCACCCACACCCATTATTCCTTCAAGTTCTTATAGCATACTGTGTTCACTTAGAATAGATATTACCAAAATCAGCTCTTGACTGTTTAATTACTAGGCGCTTTTTTTTTTTTTTTTTTTTTTTTTCCCCCTGAAAGAATACACAAACAGGTGAGGTAAAGATAGCTAGCAAGATATGCAAATATTGAAATCAAGTAGTATATTAAAAGTTCTTAAGCAGTTTGGTTAATAAAGTTGACAAACATGCAAATGTGTTATGTCACAATAAATTGATGTTCACCGAAGGTAATTTTAACTTGAGTCTATTCTCAAAGGGCTAGGAGTTCTCTCATTATTTACTTACATTTCCATAGATTATGTATTTGCTCATCCTCATTTTTCTTTTTCTTGAAGAGTGTGTTTCATGTTCTCCAAGCTGTTAATAACTGCACAACTTCCTCCTTTAGAATTGCTTCATGATCATTTAATTCTTTCAGGTTTTTGTCTGAATTAGCACATTCCTCTTGCAGAGCTACTGTATTACTTTCTAGATTTAAAATAATAGATTCTTTTTAAGTACTTCTTCTTTGCTATGCTGTCATCTTTAACTCTAAAAGCTTCCAAGAGGCATTCAAGCTCTCTTATTTTTCCCTTGTAGCCAGTAACTTCCTCTTCAAACTGTGCAATTGCTCTGTGATCCTCTGCAGCCTGTTTTTCAAAATCCTGAGTTTTCTTCTGGATGTGCTCTTGTAACTGATTCACAAGATCTTTTTCCTTTGTGGACTGATGGTCCTGATTTGCAGTCTCATTTAACTTTATTTTCAGTTGATTATTATAATTCTCAGCATCATCACATTCCTTCTTTAAGCCTTCAACTTGTTGAAGTAGTTCTTGAATCTGCTGACTTTTTTTGTGAAGAAGCCTTAATAATGTTTTTGCATTCCTTCCAAGTGCTTTCAACACTGCAACGGAAGGAGCTCTCCTGTCCCAGATCTGCTGTAGAAGCCGTTTGGTACTCCATGCACACAGGACTCATTTGACCTCTCTCCAGTTCATCTTTCTGAGAGTCTAAGGAATCCTTTAGATTAACAGAATCAATATCCACAACGTAAGACTCTAAGTGACATTTATACAACTCACCTACTTTGGACTGCATTCTTTTAATTAGTGACACTTTATAAATTATATGTTGTTTAGCACCTTCTACCTCGTTATTTAGTTGAATAATCTTCTCTTCTTGTTCCGTATTGATAGTTTTCTGTTTGTCCAATTCAGAAACAATCTCCTGATAGTCAGCTCAACACTGTTGAAGTTCTTCACCTAAGCCAGAAGCCCTTTCTTCAGAACCAGAGACCTTGAGATTCAAGTTTTTTATTTTCCCACTAGCTCTTCTTTTCTGTTTTTTATTCTTCTTCACTGCTCTTCAAGTGCAGCTAGCTGACCTTCCAAGGTTTCAGTTCTTTCCTTCAGTGCTAGTATTTCTGCATAGTTCTCAGTATTATTTGCTTTCAGATATTCAGTTCTCTTTTGATCTAGAGAGTCATCTTCCCAACTCTTCATACATCCTGAAAAAAAACCCCAAAACAAACCCAAAAACCACCACAACAGTTCAGGATGATTGAAATCAATAGTACAAGTCACTAGCACTACCAAATAGCAATTACTCTATGGAAAATAGTCACCATCTGAAAGCCACCCCCTGATATCCTATGGCATTGTGAAGTCCTGAAGTAAAGCCCCTCTGAACAGTGTAAAATGCAGTAGGTGCTTCTTAGGCTCATAGACGTGGTTTGCAGCAAGAGGTGTTCAGGAGCTTAAAGAACATTTTGCTGTGACTCTATTGCAGCCTTCTACTCTGCACCACTACAGAAAAATCTAGCTAGTTTTACTAATATGCAGTAATACCTGTGAACTAGATAACGCTCACAGTTATGTCTAGTTTCCACTTTCACTGGTTCAACAATCCTTTTAATGCAGCCAATCACTCATTTTACATTCAGAAAAAGCAATGGTATTGTAACTTTCCTGAGAATTTTCATTCATACTCAATATGCCCTTACTTTAAAAGTTAAGCTAAAAATCCAGTACAACTTTTTTTCGCTTCGTGTTTGGGACTTTCTTCTCTTTTTTTTTTTTTTTTTTTTTTTTTTTTTTTTTTTTTTTTCTTCTTTCCAGCTGGTTTCTAAACTAGATACAAGGATAACTACTTATGCCCACACCTAATGTGTTGCATTGAAGGTTCTCCCAGAAAGATCTACAACATTCCATCATGATCTCAAATTTTCATAAACATTTTATTAGCTTCAGACTGTTTGTTCCCTTGAAGTAAAATCATATGCATTTCACCACCTTCAAAATGTTGGAGGAACATGAGACAATAAATCCCTGCATAACCCTTTCAGTATCTATGTATGAGCCTGCTGGCTGTCAGCTTGTCTAACCAGCCCTGGAATCTGAGAATTATCTGTCTCACTCACCTTCTATGGCAACAAGTACTAGAAGTCCACTGCCCATGGCATGAAGTGCTGTGTTACATAAACTTAAGCTCGTCTTCTAGATTGAGCATTCCCTTGTTCTTTCCCTGCAGTGATAAATGACAGCCCAGCATTCAGTTTATTCACCACCTGTATCCTCAAGTCATCAAGTTTTCTGTGATCACATGAACTGGACAAGTCTCCTTTTAACATGTTTTATCCCTCTTTATGGAGACAGATATTTTCTGATCCCCATTTTTAACCTTATTCTCTTTTTCTATCCTATCCTCACACAAACAATTGCCTGGAAGATCTTACTTGCACCTATTCTGCAGGAAGTAAGGGATACAAAGGGAAGATCTTTCATTCTCCTTTGGCACAGGCTTTCCATAGTCCTATGAGAAACTGGAGCCCAGCTCTGTCCTGAAGTCAAGAGACAGACGGATCTTACAAACACCATTTTGTACAAGTCAGTCCCATATAGCTCAGTCTCACCAATTAACAGACTTTAATGGAATGGATAATATAAGTAGTGGTGTCCTTTTAAGTTTCACTCTTGAAGGTCTTCAGCTGTAGCTGGTTTATTCACCTCATTCTAAAAAGCCTGGTATACTCACAGATAAAGCAAGGAAAGCAAAAAATGTTGGAAGTGAAATGTGAGAGCTGCAAAAAAATGTGGTTCTGTGGACTTAAAATAACTTTACTTCCATTGAAGTGAAAAGCTTTTCTCCTTTGCCAGCACTGCCACCTTGCCCAAAGCTGGTGTATTCACACAGGCACACACAGGAAACACCAAGTGTCACAGACTGTGACTCACTGACACCTCTGACGCTTGCGCAGGTAATTATAAAAAGCTGGAGCAGGGGATGCTACTTTCCCAGAAGGCCAGAAACAGCAAGTTAAGGACAAAAACAACTGTTAAGAAATTGATTAAGAACTACAGCTGATTCTGCAAGTACATTAACAGATGAGAAAAAGCAGCAGAAAGTAGGGTCTAAAAACTAACTTTGATTTTAAGCATTTAGGAGTGAGCAGTATAGGACCTTCTGCAAAAGATGATATTTACATACCAGTTACTTTGATTTACAGTTTAACATAGCAGATTTTCTCCTCACAACATCATGTTTACACTTCACAGATTTTCGCTTCTGTTTTGGAATAGTAATCAAGTTCTTTTTGAATCCCCCCTCTTGAGTGGTGGTAGAAATTGTACCTTTCTTTGCAGATGCCTTTTTTTCCACAATAGGCTTACTTTCAGAGCAACACTTTCTTCCCACTTCCAATACAGTCTCCTCACAATCCCTGAACTGGCTGCTTTCAATCACTTCCTTAAGAGTTCTTTTCTGCCAGTTTTCTTTTCATGGTAGTTACAGTGTTGTCCTGTGTTAAAGTAAGATCAATTATTTTGAAGTTTTACAAAGTGAGCACTTCAAAGGCTTAGTAATCTTTTAGATGCAAATATTGTTACAAATCTATCTGGGTAACCTGTATGGGGGTTGTTAGAAGAACAAGTCAGTTACAGAGCAGTTACTCAAGCAAAAAGCAGGTCCACCTTCAGACTGTAATAAGCACAATGTTTTGCACTGTATAGAAAGTAGAGCAAGAGACTATCAAACTACAAAACGCAAAACAAGTTTACCACCTGAAGTATCCAGTGTCGAAAGAGTTGAGGAAATTAATGATTTGCTCAAAGGGCCAATGGTCAGCTCTACAAGTTCATCACCTTCTTGCCATAGTTGGTAGAGCTGAGAGATTTAACCACCTTCAGCAACGCCACAGATAATTTTTACCATGACAGATCTGATGTAGTTTGGAAGCCTAGTCAGTCCTGTCATATGTACTTTAGACTATATATTTGACTAAGAATAAAGATTCTTTCCCCACAAGATGACATAAGTGGCAAGCCATGCTGGCTGCTAAGGACCAATCACTCATCTGATTAATTCATTTTAAAAAAGGAAAATAATCTGTAGAACAGACTTGAGGTCTGTGGTCATGTTTTAAGTTTCATGCCACAGAGTCTCATAGAAACACTGGACAGAGCTGGAGCCTTCCTCTTGGAAGAAGCAGTGACAGGAAGCAGTCATCCCAACTGTCACCACCCTGAGCATTCACGCTATTTAAAAGCCAAGGTGCTCGGAGGCAGAAAGGGAACAGAAGATTAAGTACAGTCCAAGCTTAAGTTCACAGTGGAAGAGAAAAAGGGATCAGAGTGCTGCTTGAGTTTAATGTAAAATGTTCTCAGAACTACGTTTCAGGTTACCGGGCATCAGGCTCAAAAAACCACCTAACTGCATGTTTTGATGTTTTTCTAGCCTGTATACATGTAGCCAAGCTCGTCTTTTGGCATCCAGCAGCTAGCAGCAGACTAGCCAGCTGCAAGTTTTATTGATCACATCAAAAGCAGAGATACTCTGGCCATCCACTCTTAGTTCAAACTCTGCTCAGTACATTCATATTATTGCTCTGCCTTAAAAACTTTGTGTGCATGGTGGTATGGTAATAGGTGGAACACACCGATTTTTGGTGCCAGTTTACACTATCACTTTCCTTCTCACATTAACTTCTAACTTCAATTAAATTTTATGTTTTGCTGCAGCAAAACCTCCTTTCCTTCCTCTTCCATTCAGGTAAAAAGACAGTGACATAATCCCTCTCTTCCCACTGCTAAAGTCCTCCCAGTCTGGTTTTGTTTGTTTGTTTGTTTGTTTGTTTGTTTTTGGTGTGTTTGTTTGTTTGGTTTTGTGTTTTTTTTTTTTCTTGGGAGTGGCTCTTCACAGTCTCATCGACAGTCCTCCCATAAAAGCTCCAGATCACTGCTTCCAAAAGTCCTATTTTCCACACACACTTTGCTGTAACTTTCATTTCATTGCCAACTTCACCTGCTGCCATTTCAAGAAAGTAGTAATTACTTATAGGAAATGTCAATTTTCCAAAATAGCCAAGTCCATTATAAGCACAGATTTAGATTTTTTTGTAAACAAAATTAAGTTGTCTAAGACTTACATAATCTTTTATGGTTTCTTCTGAGCAGGATATCAAATCTTACAGTCTCATGGTAACATCATCTTTTGCTCCACGATGTCCATTAGTACTTGAATCCTTTTATTCTGTGTATTCATTTTCTTAGAAAAGAAAGTAGTTCAGTCATTGTTAAATTCTTATACTATACAAAGCATTTAGAAGCAAGATCAGTTAAGCTAAGCTTGATATAAAAAAAGCTAGAACAGCATTTTAAGCTACTGAAATTCTGTATTAAAGCAAGTCATTTTGCACATTTTTTTTTTGAGAAAGTTACCTCAGTTGCTTCTTTAAGTTGCTCATGAGACTCATCCAATTTAATCATCTGCATTTCAAAGCCTGTAACAGAAAAAGAAGCCTGCATCAAATAAGCAGCCATTACATAGTTTACTCAGTAATCCATTTTTCCAGATCTTCTGGTATCATACTTTAGTAGCTTTTGAATAGACTCATTTATTGTTGTGTTGGCTTCTACTTGCAGGACACATTTCAAAAGTTTAGGTTTTTTTTAAGAGAATTTTGGCCTGCAACCTGTATAAGATATAGATCACGTCAAGAGATTTCTGCTGAAATCGTAGCATGAGGTGTTGCTACTTTTATCTATGAATGTTCCACAGAACAGCTGAAAACACTGCATCAGCAAAATGTAAAGTGCTGGGATCACAATATAACCAGGGACTTCTCCAGTGGTTTGTAGCTATAGATAGTGCAGCAATTGTGCTGCGGGTAGGAGACTCAAGTATCATCATTTGTTACCATTTTTAAGCTTCTTTTTTTTTTTTTTTTTTTTTGCTCTAGGCTCTGTGGGAAATGTTGGCCCTGTAAGACAGTGGCAAAACTGCTGCTGATTTTAATGAGGTCTCTTGATTCTATCCTTAAATAATATTTTAGCATCTGTTTACTTTGTATAGCATTTATTTTCATCAGGGAATGATCTTCAGAAGTTACTGAGCATGTACGGTTTTGATGGGTTTTGTTACATCATTAAATTAAAGTAAAAGGAATATAGAGAAATTAGTTTGTCAGCTGGCAAGAGCTGACACTACAAATGGCTTCTTTTTATCTGCTAATCTTTATTTTATAGTGAGCAAACTGTGGGGCATCTGCTGAGATGGGGAAGAAAAAGACGTAGAGGAGAGGTGGTGGGGAATGAAAGAAAAATCAACTGTTCATCCTTTGTTCTCCTCTACCACCAAAGGGCTGTTAGAAGAAATTCAGTGATTAGTCACATTAGACACAAGGTAATCTTGATCCTTTCTAAATCCTCATTTTAAAATTAACATCCTGATCTGGGTCCAGTCTGGTTTTGGTGGCTGTCTGTCTGTGGCGGGTCTCAGCAAATTTTACACCAGTCTTTAGTAGTGGCTTATGGCCCTTAAAAAGGGTCTAAGGTGCAGTTGTTTATGAAGGATAGATTTTGTTACATATTAAACTTTTATCGGGCAGAAAGGGGACCCAGAAGCTACAAGGCTGTTTTAGAGTGTCAGCTCTGCAACTCTGCTACGCTTTAATGTACAGAAAAGTTAGTTTGAACTGTTTCCATTTAGTGTTTGACATGAGCTAGGAGCATGCAAACAGCCACCTGAGGTGGTGTAGCTAAAGGCCTAATAACTTGATTATGCCTCTGACTCCTCTTTGTGAGGAGACACATCATTTATACCTGTAACAGTTTCAAATTAAGAGTGTCAGCAGATGAAGAGGACTAGGCTGTGATAAGGCTTGAATGAAGTTTTTAGCTAACCCACCCGGTGAGTTGCTGATAGGGATACATAACACCTAGACAGGGTAAGGATCAGCTCTGGGGTAAATCCTGTGTACATACTGTGTACATACACACACGTGTAAAATTCCCATGTTCTCAGTGACAGCCAGAAGGTAAGCTGTGGAGCTTTCGGTTGAAAGCTGTTCTCTGTTCTGGACGTAGAACAGCAATAGTGGATGCTTCAGAACAAAAGATTTCTTTCATTTACTTGCTCTAGTACAGTAAAATGCAAAGGTCACAGCTTTTGAAATATCCTGTCAGATCTCTGAATGCTTAATAACCAGAGGAGTGAAAAAAAAAAAAATAAAAATCCTACTCATCCTGGTTTTAAGAAGTTTATTATGTTGTGGGCAAGATGTTTCTGAAAACTGTATTGGCAATTGTATTGTAGCCTTAGTGCAAGGAGGCCTGAGGATGATGCTGTTGACTAAAGAAGGGTGAGCAAGGAGTTGCTGGGGGAAAAGGGTGTCAGAATTCTAGAGTTTGTTTTCTCATGCTTTCATTTGATTTTGGTTGAGCTCCTACAGTGTAGCAGTTTTATTGTGATTCTATAGGCTTGATGATAGTCAAGGGAATAAAAGTACGTCTAAAAGAATCAATTCTCTACTGATATTAAGATTTTTTTTTCCTTATAGTTTGCAATTGCCCAAGACAATGCGTGTGGCTTCCAAAATGCTGAAGTTGAACACCAGAGAAATTGTAAAACACTTACACAGCACTTTATCCTTATGCAGCATTTTCTAAATATAGACTAAGTCCTTGTCTTAAAGGGTGTGTAAAGTTAAAATAAAACAAGACTTGAAGTGACACAGAACAGCTTGAGAGAGGCATGAGAGCTATTGGTGAGGACCTGAACAATTGTTTCAAGTCAGGGATTTGAGGGCGGCTTGAAGGGGCAGTGCAGATGGCCCACTTGCCCAGTTAAAAAAAAAACCCAAACAAATAACAAGGTACAGGATTTTGAACTCCTTTTGTTGCCCAGGTTTTTGTTATTGGTTTTCAGAAACCACTTTCTAATTTAGGTGGCGAAAACAGTAACTATATGAAATCTATGGAGATTTTTTTTTAGTAGTAAATAATGAAGGCATTAAAAGCTGTTTACAAATAGATGCTTCTGGGTCTGGATGCTCAGCTGGTGCTGTAGTGCTGCTGCCCTCCATGGAGCTAAATGCCCCCATTGCTTGTAGCTTCCTTCTGCCCTTGTGTTTGTAAGGCTGAGCAGTGCTGAGGGAAGGGAGGGGTGGAACAAGCACTGTGGTGGACGGAGGAAGCAAGCAGCCGTTTCAATGTGAATGATAAAGCAAGCTTCAACTTTATTGAAAGAAATCACATCTTATATAAGCACTAACTATAATCATGCATACTACTCACAAATCTATTGGATACATCTAAAAGGTTACATTATAATATCCCAACCCCCTGTGGTATTTCAAGTATGTCACAACATCCTCCTTCTTCTGGCTTGTTTCCTTCCCAAAGTTTTTTACCATCACGATCAAGGCTGCTGTGTACCTCAGTTTCTCCCTTTGTTAGCATAACTGTGCCCTGAATCTCCTTCTTTGTTAGCATAACTGTACCCTGGGTTTTTTCCTTTGTTTACCTCAGATGGCTGTAATCAGCTCCTGCACAGAACCATGGCCTTGTTCTGCAAGCCATTCTCCAACAAGGCACCAGTGCAAGAGGTTTTCATTACAGTGCCCTTAGCACTTCTCCCTTGGTATTGATACAGAGAAATGATTACTTGTTTCGAGATTTATTTACTTATGGAAAACTGCTTAGCAACTTATTTACTTATTTATAGCAAGTTAATAGTATTTTTTAAAATATTCCTAAGAATCCTGCTTGCCCAGACTGTTCTGTGGAATTTTACCAAGGAGTACTGTGTTCATCAAAACAAAGCAGTTCACTGTGAAAATCTACAAAGGATTACAATGATCAGCAAAATATTACACTTTTGGCCTTGAGTAACAGGTGGCTCTAAATAGTTGGAATTTTGCTAATGAGTAAAGATAGCCATATACAAAGGGTAGAAGTTCTATTGGTTCTCTTAGATAAGATAGAAAGTAAACTGAAAAACACTCTTGTTATTCAAGAAATTGACCAAGAGAACCTGTGTATGCTCTAGGGAAAAAAACAAAGTGAGAAAGACTAGGAGCCTTCCTCCCAAAGATGACCACCAGGAAGCAATGCACAGGTGCAAAGATGACATAAACTGTTGACATCAGCCTTTCTAACTAACCCAGCCTTACTCATGCATATGTATGTTTGTGTTATGTAATCCAATGAATATGGAAATCTACACTCTATAAGTTTATGGTAAAATGTGCAGTGGGTATGCAAGCTTTGTGGAGAGAACCCCTTGCACCCCGGTGCTGGAGTAAACATACGTGCTGTATAATTCTGTCTGAGTTGTAGAGTCTTTTTTTCCTGTGAATCAGTATATTGTTGGTCTCCTTCATTCCTCTTGAAACTGTTTTTCTGTCTTGGAAGTAAGAAATGACGCTGACAAACCCTTGGTAAATTGTGTTGCTCAGAGGATAGATGGAAGCACAATACGGTGAAAATAGCTTGCGCTGATTTCCCATGGAAACAATAGTGGCTACCCTACTGTCCTGCTGGAGTGTTGAAATACTGGAGTTTCAACTCCAAGCCCCAAATTAAGGGTGACATCTGGGTGATTCCCCCAGCCCTTCACAAAAGGGGGGGGAGAGTGTGCCTTTAAGCTTCCCTCCAGGGTGCAGCCGGCCTGGCAGGGAGAGCCATTGGGTAAAGGAGCCCCAAGGGTCCCACATTAAGTAACCAAAGGTCGGATGTCCCGCTTAGGGATAAAAGCTGGGACCACCTGCAGGCAGGGGCAGTGTCTGTCTGTGAGGTGGATGCCCTGTGCAGAGTTCCCTGTTGGGGAAGGACCTCCTGCCTCCCTGGGACTGGGCTCCGGTCAGGTCTGGCTTGTGTAAACACGGGCTGTGTAGAGATTCAGTATGTGACTTCCTTGGTCTTATGTGTTTGGCTTGTTGACTCAGTTGCCTCCTGTCCCTTCTATGGGAGACTGCATGTCACCATTTATTCCACCCATTGTTGGCTGTGCGGTGTCATTGTTGGGGTCAGTGGGATTGATGTCAATTATGTGTAATCTGACTTGTTTGTACCCCCAGCACTCACCCATGTACTGACCCTTTTGTACCAAATACAAATTGGTTCTTGGTTCATCTTTATGTTAGCTGTGTCCTTTATGCTAGGCCTAATAA